GTGGGGGGAGTTACATCGCCCTCTGGTGGGAGTAAAGGGAAGTCGGTGTGGCTTGGGTGATGAGGGTAGCGCTCTATTCAAAATAGTTGAATAGAAAAGCAAGGCTCTCACATTCCAAATTGCCATTATTAATTATTTCAATAACATTTAAAAATAGTTTTGGAGTATATTCAACTACCCTTTGAGCTGTAATCGTACAGTAATTTGAGTGTTGAGGATGGAGACAGGTCAGCCAACACTAATGAGAAGCCACGAGAGGCCTCTTTCTTCCAGCTGGGCCGCCCGCCTGGCCTCCAGGACAGCTGAGCCCTCGCTGAGCTTACCTGGCGTTCCTCACTGTGGACTCCATAGGTTACTCGGGGTGTTTTAGATAGCGAGTTAGTTAAAAATTGTTACTTATGTTACTCTTTTTAAAAACCATCCTGGAGTGCAAAAGCACAACTCTAAAGTTATTCTTCAGCACATGTTCTGGCTTTATTTAACCCATTAACAATGGAACCAGATGGAAGATAAAAGAGTTGGTTCCAAGAGCATTTTGAGAACAGGGATTTACAGAGTTAGTCAAGAAAGAAAAGCTGAAATAATGTCGCTAAATTAAGCATAAGACTGGTGCAATTTCTACAGGGCAATAAAACTGTATGCTTCTGTGATTAACTTCTTGATTGGCCTATGAAGTCATACCAATAGGTGAGTGTCGGCAGGTTAATTGCTTACACTATATAGGCTGTAAACTGCCTGCACCTTTATCAGTGTAGCTTGTTACTTAAATATACCAGGACATTACCCAAAAGTATTAGCCTAGGAGCCAGTGGGGTTATTAGAAAATGCTCTAGCATGATGCCAGAGAATTAAGCGATGGTCATTTGGCCTAGTTCGTTCATGATTGGATATGTTTTTCTTGTTCAGGATATTGAAGGTGGGTAGGGCTATCTTTTCTTTCTGTTTCTTTTCATTTGATTGGTTAGTCTGTGCATTCGTAGCACTGAACATAGTGTGGTTTTCACACCACAGTATTTTGTTCCTGAGCATCTGGGCTTCGTCAACAACGGTGACTTTCAGAGAAGACATGGTCCCTTTAGGAGGAATGAATGAGTCAGCATGACTTGGCCACTCATTGTCGCATCGCATAAGAAATAACTCTGGAGGAAAGCCAGGCTGTGTGGACTATACCAAATGCATTTGCTATTTCTAGGCCAAAACACATGGTGCCAGTGTAGTGTTTCAGGGGTGGGGAACCTTTCTCCTGCCAAGGGCCATTTGGATATTTATAACATCATTCTAGGGTCATACGAAATTATCGACTTAAAAATTAGCCTGCTATATTTGGTCAAGCATATAATTAACTCACCCCTAATGTGATGGCTGGAACTGCTTCTCTTTGGTGAGTCCTTGGCAGGACCAGACCAAATGATTTCGAGGGCCATATACAGCCCGCGGGCTGGACCTTCCCCACCCCTCTCAGGGCCACCTGGCTTCATACCCCAGCACCCTCTTGCTCTCTGATCTCGGTTGGGCAACTTCCTTAATCTCAGTCTCCTTACCAGTAAAATGGGGATTAAAACAACTGCCCTTCAGAATGGGTGTGAGAATGAGAGGAGACTAAATGTGTAAAACCCTTCTGAGGGTCTCGAGTCCCTGCTGAAAAGGGTGGTGGTCCTCTGGTGCTCCTCTCTACCGCCCCCAGGGGCTAATAGCGGGTCAGTGCCGTGCCCACCACAGAGTATGCGAGCAAATATAATTATTTTTGAAACTTTTAAGGAAATTGCCTCCTATAGGGAATTTTGCAGTTTTCAAAACACTAATTAAATTGACTTAAAACTATGAAAGGAATACAAAGTATTATAATTTTAAGCTGATTTTATTTACATTTTAATAAGACTGAATACCTTTTGTATTAGGAACAACATAGATACGAATCATGGGCACACTATGAATGATGCTGAAATATGATCCCTGTCCGTGAGGTCTTTTTAAGGGAATTGTTTCAATAAAATTATTTTAGGACAAAATTGTCAATGTAAATATGTGTTGCATTTTTTGCATGTGAATAGTTAGGATGCGTAGTGTTTTCAGTGTGCCAATCTGAAAGATTTGTCAAGAGACGATGCTTTGAAACTCAAAATGATATGGCTAACATGTGCCATGAACTTGGTAGTTATTGATATTTAAATAAGGAATAAAAGTTCTAAAAGCTATCTATTTGGATTTTTACCCTTTTGTGTTTCCCTAAACCTATTAAGAGCTAAATAAATATGCATCTTGGAGTGAGGGAATATAAGAAATTATGAAGATTTGATCATGTAGCAAAAGAGGAGAATAATTCTCATACCCAGAACGAACTGAAGTTACTCAGGAAATCAGGGGGGTTTGCAGATATTGTGGCTAGACTCCCTCCCGTCTTTCCCAGTTTCAAATTTCCTTTTTCTCTCCAATCCTAACTCATGTGATTACTCACATCTCAGCAGGTTTTCCGGAGCGGGCCAGGAGCGCTGAGCTGGCCGTGGGGTGCCGCCTTGCCCTGACACAGGAGCGGCAGGGGCCCGGGGGGCTGTTCTGGTGGTGCCTTTAGTCTAGGTGACGGGGTGGGAAATGCCCTTTAAATTGAAAAGAAGTAACAGGTTAGGTGAAAATGCTTTTAATATATAAAATGCAGTAAAAGAATTAGGTATTTAGATTATGTAAAGAGCACTTACAAACCAATAAGAAAAAAAAAAGCATGGGACACAAACAGGAAATTCACCACACACTTGATAATATATAGCGTTGATGGAGGTGTAGAAAAATGGATTCTTTTCTGGGCAGAGTGCAAGTTGCTTTAGTCACTTTCAAATGTATTTGTTAAAATAAGAACTATGGACACCTGCGAGCCCAGCTCGTGTCTCATTTCTCCGCATCTACCCTAAAAGACCCCTTGTCCTCGTGCACAAGGAGGCATGCCCATGTACACTCACGGCAGCATCATTTACAGTCATGAGAAACTGAAAGCAAGCTAAGTGCCCATCACGACAGGTGGCTAAGGAGACTACGGTGCGTGCGGAGCAGGCCGTGCTACTCAGGAGTGGTGGTGACAAATGAGCCAGACCTCTGTGCTGGCAAAAAAGAATCTCCATGCCAGACCGAGTGAGAGGAAAAAAGTATGGAAGTCTTATGATGTGTCACCATATATTTAAAAAGAAAGAAAGGATGCTTGAGGTGATGCTATAGATTTTCTGCAATAGTAGCTCTCAAACGCTTTCAGCAATGACCCTCAGTAAGAAACACATTTTGTATCTTGAAGGAGTGAACTCTTGCTGCACGCAGTGCACTCTGAAAAGTTTCTCTCCTGTTCCACTTCAGTCCATCCCATTTTTCAAAATGCTGGTCATGACCCATTAAACTGATTTCAGGACTCAACCACAGTTTGAAAAATGCAGTCGTGGAGTTAAAGCTTCATGCATGTAAATGGGTAGAAAATGGACTGGAAGGCAGCACACGACGCTGGTATCAGAGGTTACTTCTGGGGCGAGGCCAACGGGTGGTGGTTCCCAGGGGCCTCCTGCCTCTTCTGTAACACTTAGGTTGTCATTATGTTTGTTTGCTTGTTTTATAGGGGGCATGTGTAATTAAACATTTTTAAATTTATTTTTTAGACAGTAGCCATCAAAACTATTTTCCAAAGTTAAGAATTTACTGGACTTGAGAGCGAGTGGTCAGAGGGTCTTAAGAAAAAGAGTTTTAAGTTACTTTGCATGACTGACAGACTCTGTAGCTAACTATCTCGGTTTTTGTGTCTAGGGCTACACATGAGCACATGTCTCGTGGCAAGGTGGAGTCAAACCCATGTGGCATCCCTCTCGAAATGCCATCGCAAACCTAAGGAGGCTCTGCCAGGCTGTGAGATTGTAGCTCGTTCCCCATGACTGTTAAGTTCACACATCAAAGACATAAAGTGATCAACATGAAAATAATAAAAAACTAAGCTGTTTAGTTTCTGAAAATGCAAAGTTAATGCTCCTGTTGCAACATCAGCTTGGCTACATTACACGGTCTCTAGCTTTTGATATGAATCTAGACAAACAGTTATGTTTTAAGAATTATTCCTGCAAGAAACCCCTGTAGGAAATGTGGAATGTGTGCACTCGGCCATCTCTGCAGGCTGTACATAGCTCCCGCTCTCTCTTTTTTTTTGTTTTAGAGCTATCTTAGTTTTTTCTGATTTACCTTCACATTTTTACCTTAAGAATAATTTATTAAACCTCATCTTAATGGTCAAGTAATTGATGCTTAAAAGGAGTTAGACACAGTGCCTAGGGAAGGAAGATCCTTTAAATTTTTAACATTTAAGCAAAGTATTAAATGCAGATGAACTAGAACTGGATAATTTTTTGTGAGAATTTTTTAGTTAACTCAATAAAGATACCCATAAAGAAAATAATATTTGACACCAGCCTAGCCTAAAACTGTGAAAGTGGTATGACTCTATGATGAGAATTTGGGATAAATTATAAGTGTGTCCTATTGAGACCTGGACAGAAATCCAGGTGAAATGATAATTTGTGATAATCAAGGGTTTGAAAGTTACTTAATTCAAAGTAATTTTTGTTACTTAGAATTTTTTGTTTTGGGGGTGTTTTTTCCTCTGGATATTGTTTATTCGATGTTTGCGTTCAGTAGTTTTAACTATGTTAGATGAATTTTAAATTTAAAAGCATGATGGTCTCTTAACTGCACAAATCTAAAGTCCAGCTTTTGGATACCACGGTATCCCAGGCACCACGTGCTCCTGGTGGCAGCCTCGTGAAAATGCAAGCAGATTCCGGGCTGTTGCTTAGGCATCTGAGAAGTGGAGGGAAGGAATTGCGCATCCCGTGTTAATAAATGTTGAAGTGTTACAAGGTCTCTGCATATTGTCTCGTTGCTAGAATGAGGGCCTTTGCTTAATTTTATTTCAGAATTTTACCCCATTTTCTACTAATAATCACCCTTAAGAGAGAAAACCAGGGTCCTGACTAACCGAAACATTTACCACCCACAGCGTCCGCAGGGATTGCCGTGTCCCAGAGGAAAGTGCGCCAGATCAGCGATCCTGTTCAGCAGATCTTAATCCAGCTGCACAAAATCATCTACATCACGCAGGTCAGCGTTTTAGCCTTTTATTTCCTTTTCATCTTAAATATGAATTTGCTGCTAATATTGCTTAGGAACTTCGTGGGACTTTCAGTTAGAGTGAATAATTGTCCTTTCCTCCCCAACTACAAATATTTGGCGACACTGTGGCTTAGCAGCAGGGCCAGGGAGATAGGAGAGTAAAAAGGCAAACATGTCAGATTTCCCTGTGACCTCAAACCTGCTCTTTCACTGCTGGTGACCGACCAACGAGTGGGCCATCAGATGGAAGTGGGGACAGACGTGGGCTTTGGAAACACCTTTACTGCAGGAAGGAAAGAGGAAACTAGTGCCCACCCACAAATCCTGAGGCTTAAAACCAGGACCTCTCAGAGAAATGAAAGCTAAGAGCACAGAAAACCCAGGACTGTGGAAAGTTGCCATTCCTAAATCCCAGTGACTTTTAGGCACTAGAGAAGCAAGCACTGTTTTAAAGTGGCTAAAAGTTACAGAAATTTGTCTGACTTGATTGTTCATGTACCAAAGGTACGTACTATTAGTAAGAAAAGAAAATTTTGTAGATGCAGAAGTGTAGATGTTTGGACGAGAAAGTAATGAGAGAGACTGCATGTGTTACGCAGTTTATTCATTTGTTTATCTGACATGTAATTAGAAGGTGCCTACTGTGTGCCAACCACTGGCCTAGGCGTTTGAGACCTATCAGTGAGCAAAATATATAAACATACCCTCACCCAGATCCTCAGAGAAGCAATGCGGGGATTGTGTCAGTTGCCAGTTGTGGTAATTTCAGTTATACATTTGGGGACAAGAGAGAAATGCCAATAGGTCAGTGGACCAACGGGGCCCATTGTGAGTCCAACTTGGGCTAATAGATCTGCTCCCTCCCACAGTAAAGCAAACAAGTCAAACAGAAAACCGTTTCGCTTGGTCATGTACCACAGTGACCATATAAAACTAGGAATAAGTGTCAGTTTACAGCCAGTGCCCACTGTTCCCTGAAAGCCTGTGCATTCCCTCCTCCTGGGCGAACAGTCCCTGCAGGAAATGGCGTCAGGTCCCTTAGGGAAGGTTTGGGGTAAATTTATAGTGTGGCCCTTACGGTAGTGTTTCAGGACCCTTCTCAAGGGTCCTCAGGCTGTGACTTTCCACTGTGGCGACTGCAACTCAACTCCTATTTTTGTCTACCAGGCCTAGAGTTTTTTTTCTGTTACATAGATTAAGGAATACAGTAGTTTTAAATATGTTAAATTCAGGAGGGGAAGAGAAATCTAGAGAATAAAGGAAGAAAGATAGGGAAGTCACTGCTGAAGGTACTGAGGCAGAGCACCCAAGGAAGGGACAGGATAGAAGGGGACACACACCCTGGGCTGAGGTCTGGACCTCCCTGGAAAGGTCAGAGAAACCCCCAGAAGTGCAGTTCTGGAGAAACTTTCAGGGCTGCCTCCCTCTGGGGTTTGGGGCGAGCCACCGATGGGGAGGTGTCATACCACGGAGCTTGCTGGAAATGAGCACGTGAGCGTGGTGTGAGGGAAGCGCCCTCCCTAGGCCTGGGAGGCCGCCCTGGATGGGGGCTGCGCACCGCCTCGCTGGGAAGCCGCCTGCAGGACTGAATGTGGTTGGGGGAGCACCGCTAGGGGGCCCCATTGCACTGACTGCTTCACGCTAACGCCCAGGGCAAGGCAGGAGCTTCTGGAACCAGGGACAAGCTCCACCCTCCTCCAGTGTCCCGCCGGTGCCCTCTGCAGACACAGCCGGACATCCTACCAGCCGGCAGGGGAGAAATATTCCAGCATCACAAGCAGGGCACTGAAGGGTGTATTTGGAGCTAAGAGGCAATAAATTGACAGCTGGCACACTTAACCTGGGGGGCGAGGGGTAGGTAAAGAGGCCTCTCTCTGGGATTCCCCTTCTCCAAGTTCTCAATGTGAGGGTGCGGGGAGAAACTTGGTTAATAAATCAACTATAATGTGCCATATCTCTATTGAGTAAAGACATTATATTCAAAATTGCATTTCCATTTAAATACTGACATAGATATATGGGGAAAGCATGCTTAAGTTTAGTGTTATGGAAAGAGCTTTAAATAGCTTTATTGGTTCCCTCAATGATTAACTAGTAAATTGAGAGAAAATGTCCTTTGAAATTTAAATATAGTGTTTATATGCCTGTCTTGCTAATTTATATATAATAAAAAACTTTTTAATGGATGTGTTCTATTTCTTTATTGGATTTCAATGTATTTTAAAGCAAGAATAAAACTACTATGAATTTCTTACTGTTATGCTCTTACCCTGCCAGCATAACAAATGGTTTCAAATCTTTTGGTAAGATGGCATTCCTTGCTATAAGTTCAGATATAACCACTGTGGTTTTTTAAATGCATTTCCAGAATACTTTAAAGTTTATGACATTGCACATAGTAAGGAATGATTCCTCCTTGGGGAACTTTAAATCACAGTGCTAAACAAAGTCAGTGCCTTTCAAATACAGGAGACAAATACAAGTCTAAACATTATACTGGTGTATTTGCTGTAGGTTAAAGTCCAAGATCAGTTTCTCTCCCTGCTCATTGCAAAGGAAAACTGCCCAAAGTAAAACTGAATTGACAAAACAAAACAAATTGACAGAAACCTTTCTTGCTCACATATTTATTTACTCATCAAACTCTCAGACTTTGACTGTGGAGGCTGACCTGGAATGCAGGGCCAGATCCCTCCTGATAGCCAACAGATGACCTTACAGGGGAGACGGCTCACTTTTGGCTGGAGGTGGCCTTTTCTCTCCAGTTTCCATGGAGACAGACCTGTAGAAATCATCCAAGAGCAACCATTTTAAAAAGCAGGATGTTAAAATCCTTACCCTGCCTTCACTGATTTGACATCTGTTTTCATCAAAACTGAGATGTTACCTTAAGACCGAAAAGCTGAGAATGAAATCAGTGGTTCATTTCCATCGCTGGAAGCCAGAGCCGAGATCTCCGGGTGTATCAGGTGACCAGCGTACATATGTTCCCTCTTAGTGTGAGTCTCTGTGTGTGATTCCTTAGGTTTGACCTGCCTAGCCAACGTCAGCTTTGGATTTGACTCTGCACTTAGGATTTGATTGTTTTGTTAAGTAAATGCTTTGAAAATTAGCATAGAGCTACTTTCAAAAATTAAACATCTGTCGCCCAGAGAACAGACAGGCAGTGTGGCCAGAGCTGCTTTGCATTGTGCATCACCTTCTTATCAGCCACAAACGTTGCCAACAGGACAAAAATGTGTGGTTGGGAAGAGCACTGTGCCGTCCTCCGACGGCAGTTGCTCTACTGACTGTCATCTGTGAAACGCACTGCTTTTCTCAGTGGTGGTGACGGATGAAAAGAGAACCCTCCACCCCTCGCATCTGGATCTCCTGGTTCCTAGTGGCGAGGGTGACAGATTAAATAGAATTTAGGGTAATGCTTCTCAAATGAACTCAGCTTTGCAGGGTCTGTAAATTCTAAGAGAAGTCATACATTTTGTGTATTTATTTTGATGATAATCTTGGAACATTTTACTTTAGCATTTAGAGAAATCTCTTAGGCACTAATATGTCAGAATAAGGCTTTTATTATAGAAAAGATATTGAGTCACTATCAGATGGAGCCCCATGGCTACAAATGATCTGCTGATGTATTCTTGGCAATACTAGAGAATGTAGTTCTTTAAAAAGAATCCATATATTATGCAAGTTTGAGAAAACCTACTATAAAACATACATATCAGATTTCATCTTTCTTTGGTTACTTTTTTTGGTATAGTAAAAACAAACAAACAGGAATCAAGCTTTTAGACGTGTAAGTCATTATCTCTTCTAGAATCATTTTTTTCCATCAGTAAAATTCAGGCAGCTTATGGGACTGTCATGGTAAGAAAAGAAAGTATGTCAAATGTTAATAAACTGTAAAGTGCTATACCACAGTGCTGCTAGTGGTGGCGCTGTTTGCTCTTGATTATTGGCTGTGTAAGAGGACTCACTACCTTAGGAAGCATCCTTGCATATTGCATAATGTCTTTAAGCTCTGGTTTCCTGGCCTATAAAATAGCGCCTGCTTTATAAATTTGTTTTAGGGGAAAAGTGGCGTACTGTGCATAAAAGAGTAATCAGAGTGCCGGCACACAGAAATCATAGGTATTAATATTCTGTTCTTAGTGTTATAGTTTTTAAAAATATTTTTATACTTCTGTCATCTGCAATTAAACTGGGTAAAATTTTAAAGTTTTTTAAAACATCTTTAAATATTAAAGTTTACTTCTGTAAAACTTTAAAGATGTTTTGCTGTCCACAGTCATAGTTATTCCAATAGGATGCAATATCGTTTTAATACTGCCCTGTGTGTGAATCTTAGGTTGATGGAATGTTAGCTTACTCACAAAAGTTTTCCTGAGGGTTAATTCAAGCTATTAGGGGCAGGAAAAAGAATTCTAACCAGAGACTTACCAAGTTAAATGAATAAAGATTTTAAGAGCACCTGAATTAGTAAGCTGATACTGGTGCTTCCAGTACTGGGGTAAGCCACCTTTGAAGAAATTTATGGACCTACTGATGATTCACATCTTCAAAAATTTGCCACAGCAGACAATTAGGTATATCAGAAAAGGCAGCCAGCTTTCTCTTTGGCAGCTGGCACCATACTGGGCAGCAACTAGACAGTCCTGGGTCAGCACTGCCACCTGGTGTTTAGTTCAGGGAAGTGGCAGCTTCTAGTTAGTGACTGTAGGAAACTATCAAGTTCAAAAAGGTATCTCAAGGCAATGTCCCCGTCTCTCCTCCACTCCAGCCCGCCACCTCCTTGCTAGGAGAGCATGCGCATGCCTCCTCTTCATGTCTGATCCTACTTCAACTTAAATCCATCCACTTTTGCTAATCTCTCATGCACACAAATATCATTTATACTCACTTCCTTCTCATCTGTCTTCCAACTATTTGCTCATTAATGCTGAGAAATCTCTCTCTGTCTCTGTCTCTTTACATTTCTTGATTTCCCCTTTTCATTGAAGGACAACATTAATTGTGACTCTCTGCTGGGGGTAGGAAGTAGTAATCACGTCTGGATCAAGGTAAAAGCAAGCCATAATATTGACATAAAAACAGACCAGCAGAAGCTCAGCACTATTAACCTACAGAACCTTCCAGGGTACACCAAAGGGCTTCAGAATCTCCAGTCTTAATTCTTCTGTAATTAAACTGCTTTGACTCAAGCAAAGTCAAAGGATTAACTAGGATTATAGATGCATTTTTAGAACTTTTTCAATTGTACTGTCTTTATTTTATACCCTTACAGTGCTTCATAATGGATCCCATATCCTATTGTGTTTGGGCTGATGAACAGTTTTTCTTTGCTATTAAATCAGCCGTTGTGAGCCCCTGTAGACCCCATTCATTGCCCTACTATTACCTTTTACATGTCCCCCTGTTTTGTGGAACTTGAATAATAGATGTCCATTGTATTAGTCAGGATGTGGTAAATTACACTGCGCTAACAGATGTACCCTGGTGTCTCTCGGCTTGTCACGATGGAGGTTTACTTCTCACTTGGCTAAAGTTGGCCATCGTTCACCTCTGGCCCTGCCGTCTGGACTCCGAGCTCCTTGCCCCGGAGGAGGGCAGGGATGGAGGAAGGGCACTGGCTTTCCATGGCCCTATTTGATTTTTTGAAATCCCCATTTTCATCCAATCCCCATATTTCCTAAGATTCTGCAGGGACTTCCTACTACTTATTAAACCTGAGTCAGCCTGACCTGGCCTTGATGTGTACTGATTCATTCTCTCCTTCTCAATAAGAGTGGCCCCTCCAGCCTCCAGCTGTATATTCAGAAGCACTCACCGGCAGGCATCTGACTGTGTGCTTTCTGGTTTAAAGTATCAGACCCTTCAGGACAAAGGTCATGGTTAGAGTGCTTACCATCGTTTTTGCTTGTGGGTGTGACCCAGACACCTAAGTATTTGATAGAAGGCATTCTTCCTAGTCAAGTTTGTCTTTACAAAAGTCAGTTTATATGTGCAATTAATATATCACTTAGTTATTATATGAACAATAATAAAATGAAAGAACAGTAAGATAAATTAAGCAGTCCTTTGAAAGAGAGCAGAGTGATATATTTTTTCTGGATTATAGAATGGAGAATTATAACATAAACTCATGCTATTTGGAGTACAATTTAAATTCTTATTTAGTCCTGTTGAGCGAATATTGTTACACTGACCCTTAATAAATGCGTCCCTGGAGTCAGCCAGCTGTGCAGTGTTAACAATTTGCTTGTAATAACTATTTTCTCATTCCATGCAGCTTCCTCCAGCGTTGCACCACAATTTGAAAAGAAGGGTTATAGAGAGATTCAAGAAATCCCTCTTCAGCCAGCAGAGTAACCCTTGTAACTTGAAATCTGAAATTAAAAAGGTATGGTTTTCTACATTTAGGAATTCTCCTTTGCCTAACAAAAACCTATCCTTCCCATTAAATTTCCTACCTCCTTTACCTGTACTTTAAGCTCTAAACTCTGTTAAAGGATATTATTATTGTCTTAGTCCATTCAGGCTGCTATAGCAAAAAATACCATAAGCCAAGGAACTTGTAAACAACAGAGGTTTATTGCTCATGGTTCTGGAAGCTGGGAGTCCCAGGTCAGGGCGCCAGCGTGGTTGGAGCCGGCGAGGACCCTGTTCCGGGGGAGGCGGGGTCGCACTCAGCCCATTGTTATGAAGGCATTTTTTATAGGAGCACTGACATGAGGGTTCCATCCTTATGACCTAATCACCTCCCAAAGGTCCAACATCATCGTAATCACCTTGGGGATTAGGTTTCAATGTATGAATTTGGAGGACCCAACATTCAAACTGCTTAAGACACTAAGGGAAAATTATTAAGGATAATTTTCTCACCTTTATATCTGAAGTCATTATTCTCAGAAGACAAACAGAAAGTTCTTCCCATATTATTGCATGTTTTCCGAAGACTAAATATTATTAAATATTTTGCTTTTAAATATACTTTCATCTTTTTTAGAGAATTCTATCCCAAGTTTCTTATTAGAATATTCTCCAGTAAGTCCTTAATTGAGCATTGCCAGTCTGAACAAGTCCTTTAACCACCTGAGGCCATGATTTTTATCACCTACGAGAACTATTTGTAAGGTTCTTTCCATCTTCAACATTTTCTACCATCTCCTAGACTTCAGGTGCTAGTAAATATTTCTATTCACACATAAAGAAACTAAATCACAACGAGGTCAAATCAACCAGACAGAAAGAAAGAGTTTATCTCTGTTTAATACAACTGGGTGACAGGAAACCATTTTAATATAGGCTGTGGGTATGGTCACAAGCTCCCACCCTCCTGTCCCTGCAAAACCCCAGGCCCAGGCAGTTCAGACCCACCTGGGTACAGATACTTGGTCCTACTGCAATTCCATGTAATTTTTTAAAAGTTTCATCATATGCTTAAACTTTGGCACAGCCATGCTGCTAGGGACCTTTTTTCTTAAGGTTTATTTTTTGTTCACTGTCTCCAACCTTGGGCGTAAATATGCTCATTATTCAGGCGGGACCATGGGCTCTTTGATAAGAATCCAGACCGTGTGTTTTGGCTCTGTTACCTGCCATCAGTGGTGGCTGCACACACACACACAGGAGATGGAAAAAAGAAAAGACACAGCGGCAGGTAAACAAGCATAAGCCCCTCCTTGCCGGAGATCAGAGAACCCCAAGTTTCTTTCATGGGCCGGGTTGGCAAATACGGCCAAGAAGCAAAGCTAGGGGAGCTCAAAACAGAAGTGGAGGAGCCATAGATAAACATTTATTTTACCAAATTTCTGTATCAGACCATGAATACCAATAAAAAGATTTTTAGAAGACAGAAGCACAAATCTCCCATGAAAAGTTGAAACGATTTTTATAAACTTATTAAAATGATATTCAGAATAACCCCAGTTGTACACAAAATTCATTTTAACAGAAATCCCAGCGTTGAGATGCAAGTGCTAGACGCAAGCGGCCTGATGCAGAGGTGACTGCCTGCAGCTCCTCCCCTGCTCAGGAATTTTCCATCCGTGTGTGTCTTTAAAGTGAATCATTTTTTATTACTTAGGTTTTCATTTTGATCCCTCCCGTGCTGCCTTTCTTTGCTCTCCTAATAGAAAAGAGATTTCCTTTTGTTCAGTCGCACTCCCAACCTTGTCTGCTGCTTCTGTATTTTGGTGGCGTCTCTCCTTAGGGCACCTCCCTTCCGTTCCTGGCGGGGAAGCGACGGCAGGGAGGGTGGTGTGCTGGAGGGTGTTCTGGGAGGGGACCAAGGGGTCACGGACCCATCTTTAGTTTCAAGTTGGTTAAGGGGCAGGTTAAGTTGTCTCTGGACGGTGCTCCGGTCCCCCCCTCTGATGCGAGCTTGCGGTGGGTGGCCGGCACGTCTTGGTGTCTACCCGCCCCATCAGGCAGTCAGCCCGCGCCTTCTAGGTGCCGGGGACACCTTCAGCCGGGGGCGCTGCCAGCTCTCCCGCCACTGCACTGGGAAGCCAGCTCCTCCTGAAAACCTCCCTTCATTTTCCCGTCGGGATTCATCTTCCCTTTCCCGACACCTCAAGCCCTTTTCACACATATTGTTGTGTCTTAAGTGCCTCTCATCTGCCTCACTTTTCTGTTTTTTTCCAAAGGCAGTGAGTGTGTCTTTCTCACCTTTGATTCCCTCGGGGTCTTACATAGCGCCTGGCACGTAGTAGGTGCTTCATGTGTGATTGTTGAATGTAGACTGTTCTACATTGATACATATATTCTGTATCGTGTGTTCTATGCTGGTTCTATGTAATATGTGCAGGTACTTCTATGGGGATATGGAAAGAAGCCCTCTTGCTCCTCTAAACCTCAGTGAGAAGAACCTGTGACCTCTGCTTTTGTTCCTTTCTGGTATAATCCCTTGTTAACGACGACTTTTGTTCAGAAATGGATCTTTCATCCCCTGTACGACCGCGGAAGAGTGGCCAATTAGCCTTTGACTGGCTCGGTCACCCCCACCAGGGCCGTGGGAGCAGTGAGTGGTGCGAGCACGTGAAACGCATTGGTTTCCACCTTCCCCTTGAAACGTCTCCTGAAATTTAGGGACTCCAGGTCTCCAGCGTGAGGAGTCGTTAGGGATCACTGTGGCTCCTGATGAATGGCTTACAACCCAGCAGGCTATAGAGAGGCATTACAGAAAAGGAAAAGCCCTTTTCTAAGAAGCTTAGTGGGAGCACCCTGTTAGCTTGGATATAAGAAGTAAGGGTTGCTTAGGGCCGCCTCCGTGGCCTCCTAACGACACTGATGAGAAAGTTACCGCGTGTGCGGATATCAGATCCTCCTGCATTACAGTATGTTGCGATCTTACAGTCTTGTCATTTTACAAATGACTTGTTAATTTTATCAGTTGTCACTGAAGTAAGAAAAATAAGTTTTCAGGAATCAAAAGGGGTAGAACCATATTTTTTTCCTAGAGTGTAGTGTTTGGCAACATGAAGATTGAAAGACACAAATGTTTTTTATTTAAAGCATCCAAAGTGAATTGATGGGATGTAGATTGCTAATATAAAATGTTTTTATTAAGGTAGAAGATGCACAGTGCATGCAGTGAAATACATTCACAGCTCTATGGACTTTAACATATATGTTCACCCATGTGACCACCACCCGCATTGAAACAGAACAGTTCCAGTCCCCAAGAAGGTTACCGCCTGCCTTTTCCTGGCCAGGCCCCCTCCCCCTGCCACAATGCAGTTATTTTCCTGATTCCTATCACCATTGGCTAGTTTTGCCTGATGGGGAAAATGTATATAAGTGAAGTTGTTCTAGGCACTGTTTTGTTTCCGACTTCTTTGGCTCAGCCCATTTGCTGTGGGCGTCCATAGCCTATTCCTCAGCGCTTTGAAGAAGTCCGCTGGTAAGCACACCGCCATATCTCTATTTACCCTGCCACCCAGTGAACACTGGGGTTTTTATAGTTTAGGGTGGTTATGAATAAAGGTGCTATGAACATCCTTACACATTTCTGTCGAGGGACAGACCTACTCATTTCTTTTGTGTATCTACCTAAGAGGGGCCCTGCTGGATCACAGGGTGGGCATATGTTGTTCAAGTTTAATATTTGCTGCCAAACAGTTTCTCAAGGGATTGAACAGTGATGTATGGGACTGAGCAGAGTATGTGGCTCCAAGGTAACCACTCTCGCGTAGTCCAAAGTGCACCATTTGTTTCTGGTTTATTAATATGAATCGATATTTTAAAAGTATATTATATTAACACAGGCACTAAAACTTGGCCATTCCACATGCTGATTAGAAGGAATGGTGAGAGGAAGCTGAAAAACGTTTCTAGTCTAAAATTTCATTAAAAAATTCAGCTGCACAGAGAAGGGCATGAAACAATTGGAACTTCAATAAATTCTGTCATTTGGTGAATTACTCTTTCCTTGAGAGTGCTGAGAATCAATGTTTGGAAATGAAAATTAATTAATGGTCATTCAGAAAAATGTATCAAGAAGTGTGTTTGCTTTGATAGAACAAGTAGGCATTGTTCCAAACAGACACTTGAAAAAGGATGGTGATTTGGGCTAAACATACTGTCTGTCGAATAATTGAAATTCATCCCTCCTATGCCTGACTAAAAAAAAACATTGTGATGTCCCAGCCCCTGACATTATTTTTCTTTTTAAAAATTTTGTTCTCATAAAGCTATAAAGTGTAGAGTTTTTTTTTTTCATGCGACCAGGCAATTGCCTAACTCGCTTTCACCGTAACTGGGCTGCTTCTGACTTACACGTTGTTTCGGAAGGAAGAAGATGTGTGTTTGTCTATTTACCAGGGATTGCAAAGCGCAGAGCACTAAATTTTCTGTGCAGACGCAGGGAAGTGGAAAAGCCCACACACAGGCCTCATGCCGTTTGCTTCTGAGTGTAAAAGATGGTGCGGTTTCCTTTTTCTGTTCCAGTTATCTCAGGGATCGCCAGAGCCGATCGAGCCCAGCTTTTTCACAGCAGATTACCATTCATTACATCACTCCGCCGGTGGAAACAGCCTGTCCCCAAATGACCCTGCAGGTAACGGTTTTCATCACAGGAAATCTGGCTCTCACAAAGAAATATAGTGTTTGGATCTACAGCTCTCCTTCAAAGATTAAAATCTTCAATTTAAAAGAAAAATAGAGCTTATTTTGATTATCTATGCAATAGTTGGAAGGGGCATATGGGGGAATCTAGAAATTCCCCGAGATTTACTTTGCCCAGCTGTGGCAGCTTCCTTGGTCACTATTAATGTCATAAGCGAACAGCAGAATCCGTGGGGGTGAATCGTATTTCCTTTTATTTTATTTTTAACCGTCACCCTAGGATATTTTTTCCATTGCTTTTCAGAGAGAGTGGAAGGGAGAGAGAGCGAGACACTGATGGGACAGAGGCACATCGATTGGTTGCCTACCACTTGCCCCAAGGTATGTAGCCTTGGCCGGAATTGAACCCGGGACCCTTCAGTCCGGGGGAAGGCTGACGCTCTAACCGCTGAGCAACCCAGCTAGGGCCGTATTCCCTTTTATTTCATCTAGTTTATTTGGTGATGAGAAATCAGATACCCAAAAGCATCCAGGGAGATAAAAAGCAGAAATAAAGAGTTTAATATTTAAAATGGAGAAAATTTGAAACTTACCCGAAGGATCCACATTAGACATATTGAATTTTTTTCTTCATTTTGCATAAATCTCGCATATGGGGTGGCGGGGGGGACAGAATAGTACAGGGACTAAAGGGATAGATTCTGGAGACATTGGTGCCTAGATTCAGATCTTGGCTCACCCATTTAGTAGCTGACCTGGGCAAGTTATTTGACCTCTCTGCACCCCAGTTTCCTTGCCTGTAAAATGGGGATAAAAATGGCACCTGCGTCACAGGGTTATAGTGAGGATCTGTGTCAACATAGAAAATTCACTTGGCCAATGGTAGGGGTCGGCAGCATGTTACATTTCTTATGGCATCTGAGCTCTCAGAAGTTGTCAAGCCACTCCGAGGTTTCAGAGTTCCTCGTAGTTTTCCAACCCTGCAGACCATCGTCAGGTCACTCAGCGGAAAGGACAGAAGTCAACTTTTACGGTCAGGTGAAGACTTGCCATCTCCTCAGCCTGGAAACGCACTCACTCTGGTTGTGCTTTTGTGGTTGCCTAATGTGGGCGAATTGTTTCCTGTATTAATTGTTAAGTTCTCCCGGACCAAAGACAGCAGAGCCCGTGGGCGCCCCTCTCCTTGACCCCCCCCCATGCTCTCCTGCCCCGCGGGGAGCCCCGGGGCACCCACAGAGTCAGTGCTGATTGGTTGCAGTGGCGGCTGGGGGACATTACTTTGGGTGGTGCTGGGGTGGCTGAAGGTGTTGGTACGTCATACTCAGAGCAAACATAAAGAGAAGTATTGCCTTTTGGCATTTAAATGCATGGGTTTTATTTCCCTCTGGGCAGCCACAGGAAAGGGCCAGATCTTTGTTGTCTCTCACTGTCTTTCTCTGCCTTCCTCTAAAAATGTATTTTCTCTGTAGCACGTATCTGCTCTCTGCCTTGTGGACTAGGAAGAGTTGAACAGAACACGCACCTGTCAGGCAGTTTCAGTTTGAAGTCACTCCTCACCTGCACACACACACACACACACACACCCAGCTTAATTGGCTAATTTATATCATGAGCAGCACCCTAAATCTTGGTGTATTATTCTGTGATGGCGGCCTCAAAAGCAGCCAGCTATTACAAGAAGAGAAACAAAAAGATTGACTATTCTAAGCCAAGACTATTAGGAATGTGCTTGTAAGTACTCACCGCTATCAGTGAGAAACTGACCTGTTTTCACTGCAGTTGAGTCCCAGTTGCCAATAAGACCTAAGAAAGTGTGAGCCCAATGTCAGACTTTCGTGCTTTCTCGCAGGCCTCCCCAGCAGCCTTGATTCGGAGGAGGGAATAACATATGAGCAGATGCAGGTGAGGTTTCGGCAGTGCCTCCGGATGATTTTATTTTGTTGCATTTAATTCAATGCTAACCTGATTTTTTTTCAACTTCAGACTGTGATTGAAGAAGTCCTGGAGGAAAGCGGTTACTACAATTTCTCTTCTAACAGGTGAGCTCTAGAGTTTGCTTTCAAATTTGAAAAATCAATTTCTACCATTGGAGATTAGATCTGATTTCTCTATATTTGATTCCAGAGGCTGTTTTCCAACTTTTATTTTAAACACTTTTATAAAATATCTTGTCTTAGACTACGTGTGGCCATGGGTAGAATATATGTTGCTCATCTTTTGTATGGATGCTGTGTTTTGTTAGAAAAGAAAGGGTGACCACTTAGTAGTAATTTACTCCCATAAAAAAAAAAAAAAATGCAGTAAAATGGAAGAGATTTCTAGATCTTTTTTAAAAAATTAAGCACTCGTTTGTTCCATTCCATTAGAGCTGTAAATTCATATTTCCATCACTGAAATTTACCGATTGTTTTTACAGAATGCAAGAGGAAAAATGCAACTAAACAATCACTTCTGGTCAATTTAAGTTATGTTTGTGAGAGAGGAACTTGTGATATGTTGCCATTGGAGTACCCTAAATAAGAAGCCTCAGTTTACAGGGACAGTATAGTATCTTCTACTATAACCATTACTGGTGCTGTAAAAATATTCTCTTATTTTATCTATTTCATCCAGTTCTGGATTCCTGCAATTTTACTGTTGGGCATGGTGTTGGGCACAAAGATTTGGGTACAATTTGTTTATTTGAGAGGAAATTCTAGGAAGCAGTGGTAGGGGAGTGAAGAAATAATTGAATAGAGGCTTCCTTTTCAAGCAAGTTACCATCATGAGTGACTGGAGCTCCATCCCACGGGGAAGTCCGAGAGCCTGTGTAGAACGTGGGCCGCACGCATTCCTCCAGTTCCCATCAGTCATTGTTTGAGGCCTTTCCCAGGGGATGTTAGTTACCTGGCATTTCTGGCTTTCTGTAAGGTGGCCAAAGCAGATTCTAGAGGCCAGAGAAATTCTTAAGGAAAGGAAATGCTGGGCCTGGCCGTTGGAGATCAGGCCGGCATGTTTGAAGTCATAAGGACGAGGGGATATGGGCACTGACAGTGTCTCTTGACTTTTCCAGGAAGCTCATTTTTCCAAGGAGCCGTATGGAATGTGTATTGATCGTAAGCAACGATATACACATTCTCTATAGTTAAAAGTTGCTCTAGGAAGCCCAGTCTCATGGAGTTTGTTCCCCATGTGGCCTTTAAGCCGGGAGGAACTGTCTTCCTTCCTGGCTAGTGAAGCTGCCTTGTGACTGTGATTGAATGATCCAAGAAGCCGTCCCCAAGGATAACTATTAGTAGCCATGGTACAAGAAAGAGGGCCCAAGAACATCCTGTTGAGGTCATTATATGGAAATTAGATTCTTGTCGAGGTTAGTTCAGTCTCCAGCATTGTTTTTCTGTCTGTTTCCACGAGTTGTTCTTATGAATCACCCATGAGATTATTCAACTGCTTGTTCCTTTGGCTTGACAATATATTTCCAAATACTACTTTTGTAAATTTAGTTCTGTTGTGATTTGTAACTGCAGTGAAATGATGCGTAATTCTCATTTTCCAAGGATATATTTTTCATAGAAATCGCCATCTCCACAATCACTCTCCTCCCACCATTCTTGGAGAGATTTAATTTTTTACTTTCTACTCCCGGACTGAGAACACCCAGCCTTCCATGGGTAGTACGAATGTCCCTGTTCTTGACTCTCAGCATCTTACTGTTCTAAGTGCCTTGGCTTAAGTGGGGGCAGAAGTCATGCTTATCAGTTCTTAATCTGTATCTTCTCAGAGACTCAGGATCATTGGCAATAACTGTCTTTATATTTTGCAGAAATCAACTTATATATTCATGAAAAATCAGGTGTTAAGGAAGTTAGAGAAGCTTTTACAAGAGTTGTTTTTCCCTTTTTAAAAAACAATTTCAGCCTTATTTTGAAATTTTTGCTTATCCTTTCTCAGTTTTACTATCAAGTTTTTAAAAAAATCAAACATCATTTCCACTTTCAAAGACATATTCCTGTATTAAAAGACATTGCAAACTCTCTTATTATGATAAACAGATAAGGTGCTTAATAACAAAGGCAAAACATTATTCACAGTTATATTCAGAATTGTGAATGTAACAGGAAGACGTGATTTAACCGATCAAGTTCAAGCAACATATGATGGATGTGAAATAAATTTTCTTAAAATGCTTCAAATTAAAATGAATCACCCATTTTAAAATCATATAGCCATTACACTCCCTTGTTTATTTGTTTCTAATAGCAATGACAGAATATATCTTGGGAGAAAGACTCTTTATAGTTTACTAGTAAAAATAAGCCTTGGTTGTACTTTAAGCCACCACTTGTTTATTGATTTTCCAAATTAAATCCCAAGAAATAAGTCAGGCTCTACATAGAAGCACCTAATACTTCACAAGCTGGAAATACACACAATTTCAAATACAAATCAGATCAGCTATGACAGTCATGCTTTTTTTTATAGCAAAAGGATAGAAGTTGTTAAATATCACACAACATGTAGAGTTTTTGGAATCAGTAGATTGTATTTTCCCAAATAGGTTTCATAGATAGCCAGTATTATCAGAGATGTTAATAGATGTTTCCTGAAAAATAAAGTTTCATGACCAAAATGTATTTGGGAAACTCTGAAGGTACAATTTTCCATTTGTGGAGAATGTTGACACACATACCATATTAAAGACTGTGAGATAGATTGTAGGAAAGAAATCTGTTGACCTTGGTTCACAAGTTGAGGAAAGCTGTCCTAGCAATATGGTTAGAGATGGGAAACATCGCTTTCACTCCCCTTCCAGGACCTGCTGTTGTTCTCATTGTCTTCATCGTCATCATCACCACCACAAAATGTTATTCAATTACCATGCACAGAGAATTATATACCTAATTCCTGCTTAGAGCTTAAGACTCTCAGTTCAAATTTATACACACATCTACAAAACATTAAGATAGCAACGAAGACATTAAGCCAAGATATGGCACATTTCCAGCTTAGAAGAAAGAGTTTGTATTTATTTAGGGATAGGGAGATGCCATTGGCATCTAGCTAATGGCTATCTTTGGGGAAGATTTCTAGAATTGTTTAAATAATGGGGAGAGTGCTGGGGCAGTTGGTAGAATGTTTCCAGCACAAGATGCTGTATTAGTTTTTAAAAAATGGTAACAAAAAAAGAAATGGCAGCAAGAAGCCATAACCAAATAGGGGATTCCTTATCTCTGGGCTTCTGGGAAGGGAGGTAGGACTGAGTTGAGAGGAAGAAAGCAGGGTAAAGAAAATGAACCAAGGTCAAAACAAAGTTGGCCAGCCCAAAGCAGGCTCTGTTCTTGGCCATTTCTAGGGTTGTATGATTAATCATATTTGACACACAGAAACATTTAACTTCCTTATCAGAAAGATACAGCCAAGCACACCTTAATTTTCTCATTGCTGTTTGTGAGAGTAAAACTGCCTGGGTTCTGTGAATGAGTAGATGACAAGCACATACTTAGAGGTACACATTCATATTTTATTTTGTAACAGTGAAGTATGTGCTGAGAAATAATGATATGCAAGATGAAAAGATCTACATTGAATCAACTTGCACTGCTCCCTCCCCCACAATTAACTGATGAGTATATAAATTAGATATTTAATGTGCATGGGCATTTACATGTACAAGCTACTTTGGGTGTTTATTTTTCCATTGTAAAGGGTTATCAGTATCCATTGAGTTCTTAAATTGACAGAGACACTACTAGCACTGAACATCAGCAAAAGGCAGCTTTCTAAAAATGTCCCCAGTCTGTTGTATTTAGAATCTTTTTCTTATTTGTTGTGATTTTTTTACTTATACATTTGAGCTACTGCTCTTGAAATTGAATGTGTGACGTAAAATATTCTTGACTCAACAGAACTCTTTCCACTTCCAAATCTTCTAGGTATCACTCCTATCCATGGGGGACTAAGAGCCACCCAACCAAAAGATGAAAATGCTGCACGTTGAATGAACTTGGTTTTCCTAATGAAGTTCAAGTTCTGGACCTAAGCCACTGCTGCAAGATGCCTAAGGACTGGGTGCTGTTAGAAGAGTGTGGAAGAGAAAAGACCAAGATGCCATGGTGCTGGCAGGACCTCTTTCTGGAGGTCGGGTGCTGGGCTGTACGAGAGCTGCAGTGCTTGGAGGCTCGATCCCTGGGATGCCTTACACACGGGAGGACAGGGCTCCCGGTGTGCTCCTGGGAGGAAATGCTGCAAAGGTCACCTGTGGGGAGAAAACCCACTTTTCATAGAACTTTCCTCCAAGTTACAAAAAATAACCTTGTTTTTCAAAGAAATATTTTATACTTAGGATTGCTGAAACTAGTTCGAAGACATCTAGCCTTCCATGTATAACAAATAGTTTTAGATAAAGGATATTATAGGACTCAGAATGATAATATATTGGGTGATTCACTGTAACTCCCAATTTTTTTTAATCTTAAAAGATATTTAAAATGTGATTGAATTTGTTTGTTGTTCATTTTAATGAAAGGGTTGGTTCTCTCTTAACCACTTGGGTGCTAGTGGTCTTGAACCCTGATACAGTGTAGCCAGTATTTGTAACCTTGCACAGCCTCTGGGGATAACTATCACATAGTCATATTTAAGGGAGAGTAACAGCATATATTGATGTACAGTGTGTGTATATGTACGTATATGTGGGGACTGGGGGGTTGCTTAGGCTCATGCTTTGCTGCTAATCAAACTTATAGTGTTTTTAGAGCACTTTGAGGAGTTCATAGAATCTATGAAAGAGATGCAATATTCCCTATTCTAAGTCCCCCCTTACTAAAATTACATTGTTTTAAAATTTTTATTGTTGGAAATTTGAAATGAAAATAAGTTATATAATAAAATGTAAGTTCCTTCTTTATTCATTGAAACATCCCTGAAAAAGAGAAGTCAGAATTTATGATGAAAATTTTCTAGATTCTTATTGGGCTAAAATCTTCAACTGGCTTCTTATAATCAGAGTAATGTCAACAAACACCCTTATTGCCACATTAGACTGCACTTCTAACTACTTAAAG